GACGTTGGAGCTCTTCGAGTGGCAGACATTAACTTAAAAAAATTGTTTTTCAGAGAGGCATTGAATGAGAAAGCAGAGCGGGTGGCTAAATGCACAGAGCAGGTGTGTGTGAGTCTAGTTGAGGAGACTCTGAATGCAGACATCGCTGTGTTGGTTGAAAACCTGCTTGAAGCAGAGCTGCAGCGTATCCACAAGTACATCAAAAGGTAAAAACATGGATAATGAAGGCACACGAGCAAAACAAAACGGCACCAAGAATCCCAGAAACGTCTTTCTGCAGTTTTTAAATATTCTTCTTCCTCATCTACCAGGTGGCGTGACGTGGTGGCTGTTCGCCGTCAGCTGAAGCGACAGATGCGAGGCTTTCCTGCAGCCCCTTGCTGCGTTGACCCTCGCTTTAAACTGAAAGCTCTAGCTCCCAGCGCCCCTGCTCAGCCCTCCATAGCAGATCTGGCTCGTGGTTTGGTCAACCTGGGAAATGCTGGCATGTTGGCGCTCTCCAGCACCAGGTGTGTGTATCTCCTGTCCTCTCCTGTCTCCTGTCAGTGTTGGACGATGAGCACAGTTCCTTTGCTGTAACATGTTTTCTGTCTGTCCAGGTTGTACGATATGAAACGAGGAGCAATCCACCAGATGAGAGTTCACTACTACTTTCAGCAGCTGCTTGAGTAAGTCCTGTTCCTGTGTTTGTTCAGTCAGCAGTCCGTGTCACAAAGTGTCATTTTGACCTGTTTCTGGCGTCGCCCTCAGCGAAACAGTTTGGGCGCCTCTCGACCTCCCGGCGCTGGTGACGGAAAGCATCCCCAACGCACCCGAGCGAATCTTCTGGAAGGCCGTCGTTCTTTTACCCAGCAACCATGAGAGCGTTGCCAGCCTGGCAGACAGGTGCTCTAATGCCCAAAAGATATTCTAGGCCCGGTTTTCTATGAACATTTCACTGATTGTGTCCTGTCTGTTATGATTTCAGGATCCTCTCTGACTGGCTGGAGGTGAAGCTCGGTGGGCATAAGGAGTCAGAGGGCAGGGAGGAGCAGCCAGAGGGCACCCTGCAGACACTGACTGTCACCAACACGCTGCAGGAGAGCGGACAGCGCACTCACAAAGTCCACATTAGCATCAAGGTCAGATCACGCGGGGCATGCAGAAATAGAAATATGATTATTCAGAGCAGAGCTGTGCTAGAATCACAATAGACAGGAGCTTCACGTTAGGTTAAATGTTTTAAGGCTGAAGCTGAAAGGCTTGTGTGAAGAAAAATAACTAGAATAGGCTTAAAGGGTAAAGAAGAAGCAGCTTTTTCAGGGACATAAATCATGTTTTGCTGAGATTAAAAGTACCAGAAGTCCGTTAATGATCAGAAAAAAAAAACGGTTAGGAATTATATTTTAATATTTCTTTCCCCACCCCGCAGGTGTCTCGAGGTCCGCTAAACGAAGACGGCCTGTCAAAAATGGAGGAGAGTTGTGAGCTCCAGGGGACGAGCGCCCTCATCATGCTGCTGCCCGCCCTGCCCACCGTGGAGCCTGATCAGGACGAGCAGGACGTCCCGCTGTTGTCCGCCTTGCTTCAGCTCAAACAGCTACAGCAAGCCAGCGCCTGGCACTGCCCACTGCCACTCGTCATCCTGGTGCCAGGGCTAGACGGGGGCGCTGCTGATGCACAGAAACTTGTTGAAGGTGAGAAATGGTAGTGAAGACAGCACGAAGAGATTTCTGTAGTAGTTGGTAAATGAGTGTTTTTAAAAAAGCTTCATCTCTTCTAGCTCTGAAGCTGCACACACTGGTGACGGACGGCCTGATATCGGAGTATACGTTCTTCTTCATACCAGAGACCACTAATGATCTGCAGGGATCCAAACAGGTACGCATTTGCTCCTTTGCCATCATGGAGGTTTTTTTTGGTCTTGCTTTTTTTCTTTACTGACCTTCTCCATCTTCTCTCCGTCCTGTCCTGTTGTTTGTCTTCAGATAAACCAGGCTGTGCGCTGGCTGGCTCTCCGTACTCTGCCACCTTTCAGTCTAACCTGTAAGACCCTAGTGGAGCTCATTGAGTCCACCTTAAGTCATGAATTCAGTCCCAGAGTTTACTCCCACCGGTTGGAGCGAGCTACCGCACATCTTCCATCCCAGGATCCAGCTCCTGTCGTTCAGCTTTACAACGCAGTCCTGACTCACGTTGCTGATAAAGTGGCATCTCAGGAGCTCTGCGGGCTCTCATGGCCTCCGGGCGAATTCTGTCTGCCTGACATGAGGGATTTTGTGCCTCATCTGGCCTGGAACTCCTACCAGCACCTGGCCTGGCTGCGGGAAATCATCCTCAGCCTGCAGCTGCCAGAGTGGGAGCAGCTGTCCACAACAGGTCAGTTTCACACAGAAAGAGATTTATCTTCCACAAAGATATTCAGAGGTTAATAATCCTATTTTATATATTTAATCATCTTATTTCTCTCTTTAGACTCGTGGTCTGAGCTGTGCTCCTCCATCTTTCGCTACGCTGCTAAGATCCCGGTCTCACGTCGCAATCAACCCCTCCTCATGTCTCGACTCGAAAACCTTCTGGAAAGAGTCAAGTTAATGAGTCGGCGCACCCGAACCCCCGGATACGCTGGAGAAGACGATGTATGTGTGGACTTAAGTTTGATTCCTTGGGATGACGTGCTGGTGATCTGCATTGACCACAAGCTGAAGGACTGGCAGATACCTAAACCACCTGTCTGCCAAGGTGAGGGCCATGCTGCTGTAATTAATTAAAACTAAATTTGAGACTAACTAAAACCATATAGAGCACTTAATAAAGTTGCCAAATACAATAAAAATGTAAAGACAATGTCTTAAGTTTTAGTCTTTGTCAGTTTGGTCTAATTTTCTGTGGAAGATCATCTTAAAAAAAATGCCTATTTTCCACTTTGCTATTGATGTTTTTGACCCATAATTCCTATTTATTGTTTGTTTTAAGATGCTGTGACAGAGGATGGAGAGATCCTGGTTTATTTCCCCAAATACTCACTGAAGGGCTTCCAGCCGCCCGAGGAGTGGACGGAGGCCATGAGGCAAACTCACAGAGAGAAGCAGCAAGAGAAGGAGGGGTAAGGAGGCCCAGGAAAACCCCACAGGCTGTCACTGCCTCTGAGACATGCGCATCTTTCTTTTAATCTGACAACACCTGAATGTGCAACACTATTGTGCAGTGCATGAAGCAAAAACTCAGACTCTCCAAAAACAGTCCTACTTAAATGCTCTAAAGCTGGCGTCATGGTGGCATCCTTGGAGCGCCTCCTTTGCTCTTCCTTTGTTCCTAATTCCTCCGGTTTTCTCCCTCCTCAGGGTGAGTGCAGCTGCTTATGCCACACCCACCACGGCGACCCTCAGGCAGAGGTTGTTCCACAGTCTGGTGGAGCCCGTCGAGGCTACGTCAGCCCCGCTGGACATCACCCACACGCCCACGCCACCGGAGCTGCTGGCTCACAAAGTCCTGCAGAGCTTAGAGGAGGAGAAAGCTGAAAGCAAGAGGTACACCTACATCACTGCTTTTAAATGTGATGGTCATGGATTAGGGTGGTGGGGCTCACACAGGTAGGGAGTTTTAGCCCCAGACAAGATTTTTATGACTATAAGGCCATCCCACACCCACCAGCTCAAGTGAACCTCAGTGAACCTCATGGCAGTTTGCAAAATCATCACAATTTTTAGTATAATGAGAATTTTCCACTTCTTTTCTGTCCCCTATGAGCAATTTTTCATCTGCTGGGTATCCAGGAGCAAACCATTACACCCTGATTCATTTTCTGCTGTGTTCGTTTCATTTTTGATTCAATATTAATTAAGAAGTCCCTGAAACCCTTGCGCAGGTTCAAAAGGTTCTTGTTGACTGAAGATTGTTTTTAGCCATCTCTAGTGGAGCTAAACTTGAGAGCAACTGAGTTTGGGCCTGAAAGAAAGAAACAAGAGCATTGTAATCAGAATGAACTCATAATCATCACAAGTCAAAATTGTGATTTTTAAATTGAAGTTTGATTGACTGGGGAGTCCGACAGTAAACACACCCTCTCTGCCTTTCTGCAGGAGCATGGAGCAGCTTCAGTGCTGGGTGGATGGCGACCCTTTGGAGCAATTGACCACCCCGCTCTTCCTCCCATCCTCCACCCTTCTGTCCATGCCCACCACCATAAGGCACACCCCCACAGCCAGGACTCGAGAGGCATCTTTCACACAGGTACGACTGTTTCCCGACACTGAAATAGGTTCGCTGTTTAAGCTGCTACAGGTAAAGAAAATCTTTTATCTTTCCAGGAGCCTGATGATCCTTTGGAAAAAGTGACCCGGCGTAAGACTGCTCCCGAATCTTTGACGTGGCGACTGAAGGAGCTGGAACGCCAGATTTTGGCAAGCCAAGAGGAAGAACTGGCCTGCAGGCTAAAGCTGAGCGGCATGCTGAGCATCGTCGATGACTGACAGCACTTGAAGCAAACAGAAGTGTTTGCATCTACATACCTGTCTGTGACATGATCATCACCTTTTCATCTCAGTGTGGTCGGGTTCACGGACTACAAATAGGAGTGTGGGGTTTTTTTGTTGTTGTTGTTGTTGTATATTTTTAGCACTGGATTAACTTTGTAACACTGACTCCGGATTTATTGTTGTTTATTAAGAGTGTCTCTGTGTAACTAGCACATTAAACGCTGGGGATTGAACTCCTTTAATCCCACATTATTATTGAATATATAATTGTTGAATAAAAGTGGAATATTTTTCTTGTAAAACCGTTTGTCATTGTTATCATTGCTTTATCACTGTCCAGCTGTGAGCCACATGTGTATGTTTATCTGAGCAGCTCTATGATTCCACGACCTCACTGTAAACTCCGCCCATTTCCCCTCCCACTCGGTTTGTGATTGGAAAGCCGAGTCTCTGCTCATGTCTCTCCATGTGGAGAACTCCTCGGACGGGCCTCGCATGGCCTCCTGGGAAGTGGAGTCTGAGATGTACTAAACTCGCTGGACTCGCTGCTCTCTCAGGACTACAGTTCCCGTGGAAACACTGGAAGGGGCGGAGCTTCGGGAGCTCTTGAGATGAGATTCATTCACGTATTTTAGCGGAGGGTTTGACTGATCTGACAGCAGCTATGACTGAGGGAACGTGAGTTTTTGGCTTCTTTCAATTAACAACTATGAGATTTTAATTTCAGTGAGAATTTTACCTGAATAAATAGGACGATAATAATAAATAAATCATTCATAGTGCACGTTTTTGTCGTAACTCTAAGAAATGTTTAAGAAAACATTAGTGAAATGTACTTGTTAATGAGCTCAGGAATTATAAAGAGTTTTTAGAAAGCTAAAATTTGGGGATGGGATGCGAGAGGTCGGAGCCAGGTCTTACCTGCTCATGAAACAGGTTGACAGTCAAGTGTTTAATAACCTTTGAGCATCTGAAAATGGGGTCTGTATGTAAAATTGCTCTAATTTATAAAAATGAAACGATAATATTTCGTTAAATCTCTTGAAATCAAGCTGGAAGTCTGCACTTCAGTCACATCTGTAAAAGGCAATCTACAGAAGTGTTTCCTTCTTCAAATACTCTTTCTGCCAGGCACCTGCGGAGGCGAGGGGGGCCGTATAAGACGGAGCCAGCCACAGACCTAAGCCGCTGGAGGCTGACCAATGTGGAGGGCCGGCAGACGTGGCGGTACCTGGAAGATCAGGAGACCACAGACAGAGAGCAGAGCATGCTGGAGGCCCATTCACTCGGCTTGGACACGGTGGGCTCCTCTCAGTTGTTTCCCATCTTTTACAGCTTTTGAGTTGACTGTTTGGCTCTTACTGGAAACTGGATTTCTCAGAGCAACACAGTAAACTTGAATATCTTTAAACTTTGTGGATGACAGCGGTGGGTGGTAAGATCACTGATTCTCTCCACAGAGTAAGTTTGTGTTCGACTCTCCAGCCGCCCACACTGCTGTGGACGCCGCAGTGAAAGGCATGCACTTCTACAGTCAATTGCAGGCCGAGGATGGTCACTGGGCAGGAGACTATGGAGGGCCTCTCTTCCTGTTGCCAGGTGAGTCTAGTCATCCTCCTTATCCTGATGTCTGTAGTGACCGCACAAAATAAAGTGAAGTTTCTCATTGCATCATTGGAGATGTTCCCTGTAAAGCACTGCCTTTACAGGGAACAGAGTCTTGTCTTCAACCTCCAGTTCTGAATGAAATGGTATAAAAATTCAGTACACATTAATGTATTTATGGCAGACTAATTGTGAAACCCAGGAAGGTTTGAACCCACTATTTATTTATTTGTGTGTGTGTGTGAGGCAACAGTTTTAACCTTTGCACCATCAGTGATGGTGATGCAGAATGAATCAGCAGGAGTACTGACAGGGACTAGAAAGAGAGAGCATCACTTGTATTGGTTTCTCTCCATTGACTCCCTCTTATATTCAGAATTTAGTTTAAAATCCTGCTCTTTACATACAAGGCCCTGAACAGTCAGGACCCATCTTATCTTAAAAACCTCATAGCTCTCAGACTGCGGGCTCACTTGTGGTTCCTGGGATGTTAAGAGTAGAATGGGAGGCAGAGCCTTCAGCTTTCAGGCCCCTCTTCTGTGGATTCAGGAGACAGACAGCCACTCTGCTTTTCAGATTTAAGATTAGGCTTAAACTTTCCTTTATGATAAAGCTTATGCTTCAGGCTGCATCAGTTAACCCTGAATCCATCCTTAGTTATGCTGCAATAGTCCAAAGCTGCTGGGGGATTCCTATATGCACTGAGTGTTTCTTCTTCACCTCTTTATGCACCACTATAACACTGAATCTTTAGCAGTTATTAAACACTGGCTCTCTGTGCCATAGTTTGTCTTTTGTCCATCTCCCTCCTCGTTCACACAGATAACTGTCCCTCCCTGAGACTGGTTCTGCAGGTTACCTGTTCCAATGGAGTTTGTCCTTTGTTTTGATTGTTGGTGTTTTCTCTGTATTAGGGTCTTCAATTTAAAGTATAAAATGGCTTGAGGTGGCTGTTGTTGTGAATTGATGCTATATAAATAAAACAGGGTGTGAGGGATTTCATGTCTCTGTTCGGGTGCTTCCACAGGTCTCCTGATCACCTGCCATGTAGCTAAGATCTCTCTGCCTGAGGCTTGGAAGAAGGAGATGGTGAGGTACCTGCGCTCAGTCCAGCTCCCTGATGGAGGCTGGGGTCTGTAAGTCAACACATGTTTTGTTTTTTGTTTTTTTTAAATATTCTTTTAATGTTCATATCACCATACCAACCTTATCACTCATGTGGAACTGATATCAGTAATAACTTGGATTCCAACCTGTTATTACATCAAAACCCTTACCAGATTTAAATAAGAACCAAATACAGAGAAAAACAAACAAATAAGAAGCACTGAGACACAAAGACTAACACAAAACACGATGGCAGGAGAAGTAGAAAGACATCAAACACATTTAACAGCACATATAACAGAGAGGCAAGTTTAGTGCTGCTAAACTGCTCTAAAATGATCCCAGGACAGCACGTTTCCAAAGTCAACCCCTCAAGCGCTGATCACAGCAGCAGTGAGCATGTGTGTGTCACTTCTGCAGACATGTTGAAGACAAGTCCACCGTCTTTGGCACAGCGCTGAGTTACACCTCACTTCGGATCCTGGGAGTGGATCCCGATGATCCAGACATGGTTCGTGCCAGGAACAACCTGCACAGCAAAGGTCTGTCATGTTCAGTGTGCGTTTTTCTCCATGGTGTCATGTTTTCAGCTGCAGTGTACCATAGCGCTCTGTGTTTATCTGGTACAGGTGGAGCAGTTGGGATTCCCTCGTGGGGTAAATTCTGGTTGGCCATTTTGAACGTCTACAGCTGGGAGGGAATGAACACGCTCCTGCCTGAGATGTGGTGAGTGGGAGATGATTTCCAGGCTTGTGTGCAGCTCTGTGGCCTCTCACAGGTGTGTTACATGAAACAAGAGTTTAACCCTTTGCGGCGTTGTTGGTCATGACTCTGACCCTGACTTGTGGTTTTTCTAAGTAGAATGGAAGTCAGACTGATCATTTTCCCTCAAATATAAATGTTCCAGGATTCCTGACGTGTTTCTGTCTCTTCCAGGCTCTTCCCCACCTGGATGCCGGCCCACCCCTCCACCCTGTGGTGTCACTGTCGGCAGGTCTACCTACCGATGAGTTACTGTTATGCCGTCAGACTGGCCGCAGACGAAGATCCCCTGGTTCTCAGCCTCAGACAGGTGTGCAGTCCACCGTGTTCCACATGGGGGCGCCATGCACCAACACAGTACGGCCAAACGTATTCAGTGTTGTACTTTGCATCCCAGCTGTGGCTTACCTGGTGATGTCATGTGGACATGACATCCTCTTAAAGTTTAGCACAAAAACATTCCTGCTGTTACTGTAATTAAACCTGATCCTCTTTGCCATTAATGATAATTAAAATAATGATAATATTAGTAAATATATCAGCGTTAGTAAAAATAGAGAATGACTGTGAGCATCTGTGGAGTTACCTGCTGTACAGGTAGGCCTGTGTTTTAAAAGGTTCTCTAGGTTGATTCAATTTATCCTCAGACAGTCAGAAATATTATAATTCTGATCATTTATCAGTACTGATACATATGAGACTTCATCAGAATTGTGAACATCACAGCAGATGCCTTTGTGTGAAAGTAACTGAGAATAAAACGGAAAAATATGAAGGAGATTTTTCTGGCCTGGCTTTTTATAGCAGATAACCTTAAAAAATATTCTGCAATATTCTGTAATTTTGCATAATTTTAAAAAGTTTTAATTTCTTCAGTATTGAACAGCAGAAATTAGGCTTTCTTGTCCGAGGTCATTTAAGTGAAAAAAGAAAAAGACAGTGCTGTAAACAACGGTAGACTGTTGGGTAATAAGCGAATGAATAATGCAGAAAACAGAGATTTGAGACGGGAAACTGTTCTTGAAGTACAGAGAGAGAGAGAGCTGTGCAGGAAGTGTGATTTTTATTGTGGTGGAAGCAAACCAGCAAAACTCAGAGGGAATTCATGACGATGTTTATCAAATGTGAAGCGCAGTTTGATGCTTCTTTTGCTGCTGGCTCGGTGAATTTTGGTTGGAGAGAGACTAAACCTGCAGCTCAGAATCAGCGCAAAAAGATGTAAACACAGAGCAGACCAGACGCATCAGAATCGCTGAGCTCCGACAGCGTGTCCGTCTACGGGCCGTCGGGTGAGAAAGCCGAGAAAGACAAAGCTGATTCTGATGCGTCGGTCTGTTCTGTGTTTACGTCTTTGTGTGGAATCCGTGTACCTGCTCTCATTTGCTGTTTGGTGGTTGTTGAAATAGTTTTGTGAGCTTTAATCTGAGAATTTGGCGTTTCTGGCAAAACACAGTTATATTTAAAAGTCAATTCAGGATTTAATGAGTCGATATCGCTTTATTCAAGCTACTCACCTCCCTCTTCCACCTGCACTTTCAACTGGACCACGGCCGATCAGAGAGGTCCCGCCCCTGACTGTCTCTGATTGGTTTAGTCCACGATAGGGGCATAATGTGTGTCTGTTGTTGACCACACGAGATTTTTTTTTTTTGTTACCCAAACAGTTGGTCGCACTGGGTTGACCAAAGATTTTTTTTTTTTTTTTAGTCGCATCACTGAAAAATTTGGTTGCATTTGCGACCAAAATGGTTGCACTCTAGAGCCCTGCCTCTCAGTCCTTCTTTCCTTTTCTTATTTTCGTTTCACTCTCGCTTTTTATGTTTGTTTTCTTCCTTTTTTTTTAATATCTACCTGTCTGTCTGTCTGTCTGTCTGTCTCTTCCTTGTTCTTATTTTTTAGGCTGAGGTTGGAGTCTAGGAGAATTATGTGAATAGAGTGTGTTCCTGTGCCTGTGTTTTGCCTTTAATTGTTCTCTTCCTCTGTAGTCTGTATGTATATCAATAACATGGGCATTGTTCTTTGTGCTATAGGAGCTTTACGTGCAGAACTATGCTTTTATAAACTGGCCAGCGCAGAGGAACAACGTGGCAGCATGTGACATGTACACACCTCACAGCACACTCCTCACAGTCGCTTACAGTAAGTCTGACCTGTGAATACCTGCCTCCAGAGCTGCACATTTAAAACAGTTGGGCTGTAATGACTGCTAAGAAAAAATGGACTAACAGATGTTTTGCACAACAGCAAAGCTTTCAGCAGCAGATATGAAGGAAAGAGAAACTGTTGAGTCTGTGTTTCCACAGGCTCCGCTAATTTAGAGACTTATTCCTCATGGAGAACGAAAACAAGACAGAACATCTTCAACCGGTCTTTTACTCGCTAACGAGGGACGGCTTGGTCAGAACCAGGCTGCGGAGCTAAACGCTCCTCACCTGCCTCCAAACCAAGTCCTTCAAAGAGCAGCTCTCCTCACAGCTATTTATTGACAAACTGTTACAATACACATCACAACACAAGCACCTCCCACCGTAAAACCCCCCAATGGTTCTAAAAGACAAGGCACAATGTGTATGTATGTGCACGTGTATGCATGTCTTTGCATGTGCAAGAACGTGTGTGTGTGTCATGGGGGTGCGTTTGTGTGTCCTCCCGCTCACCAAAACGATCATAAAAGCAGGAAGCTTACAACACAAGAAACAGATCTTTCAGATAAGATGTGCCTAATAAAACCCACGTCAGCCTCCCCCAGCACCAAATTGGCTGGAGAAGTGGTCAGAGACAAAGGAATGTCTTTGATCACACAGTTTAAAACAATGTAGAGATGGTAAGAATAAAAATTACAACATTTAACAATTTACTTTAATAGAAAAGTTTTGTCTGGAGGGTGTTTTACACAGTGAGGATGGTAATAAGTGTTTTCAGTGGGTATTCCCCTCCACTCTCTTCTCTAACCCTGTGACTTTGTTCCTTTTGGCCTGCAGTGGTGTTAAATGTATACGAAGCCCACCACAGTACCACGCTGAGAGGAAAAGCAGTCAAAGAGCTGTATGATCACATCGAGGCCGACGATCGCTTCACGAAATGCATCAGCATTGGCCCGGTAACTAATACACAGATACTCGAAGCAAAGAACACAGATTTGTGGAGTTTGAGTTTCTAGGTGCAAAATTTATTTAAATCATCTTATTTAGGCAAGGCAAGTTTATTTATATAGCACAATTCAACAACAAGGTGATTCAAAGTGCTTTACAGAGACATTAAAAACAAATAAAGCATGATTTAAAATTGATTAAAAAAAAAACAGTAATAAAATCAGAACAGTAGATAAAATCAGTAGTTAAATGTAAGTTTTGAAATTTAAGCTTAAAAGTGTGGATTTGGTGCTTTATTCAAATGCAGCTGAGAACAGGTGAGTCTTCAACCTGGATTTAAATAAACTGAGTGTTTCAGCTGATCTGAGGCTTTCTGGGAGTTTGTTCCAGATATAAGGAGCATAAAAGCTGAATGCAGCTTCTCCGTGTCTGGTTCTGACTCTGGGAACTGATAAAAGACCGGATCCAGATGACCTGAGGGATCTGGAAGGTTCATACTGGGTCAGGAGGTCACTGATGTATTTTGGTCCTAAACCATTCAGAGCTTTATAGCCAGCATCAGAACTTTAAAGTCTATCCTCTGACGGACAGGCAGCCAGTGTAAAGACCTCAGAGCTGGACTGATGTGGTCCACTTTTTTGGTCTTAGTGAGGACTCGAGCAGCAGAGTTCTGAATGAGCTGTAGTTGTCTGACTGATTTTTTAGGTAGACCTGTAAAGATGCTGTTACAGTAATCAAGCCTACTAAAGATGAATGCATGGACTAGTTTTTCCAGGTCCTGTTGAGACATCAGATCTTTTATCCTTGAAATATTCTTGAGGTGATAGTAAGCTGATTTGTTATTGTCTTAATGTGTTTTTCTAAGTTTAGGTCTGCATCCATCACTACACCCAAATTTCTCGCCTGGTTTGTGGTTTTTAGGTGTATAGATTGAAGTTCTCTGGTGACCTGTAATCGTTTTTCTTTGGCGCCAAAGACTATTACTTCAGTTTTGTTTTTGTTTAGCTGGAGAAAATTGTGGCACAACCAGTCATTAATTTCCTCAATGCATTTACCAAGAGCCTGTACAGGGCCTCGGTCTCCTGGTGACATTGTGATATATATTTGTGTGTCATCTGCATAGCTGTGGTAGTTTATTTTGTTGTTCTTTATAATCTGTGCCAGTGGGAGCATGTAGATGTTAAACAGAAGGGGTCCCAAGATGGAACCTTGGGGAACTCCACATGTGATACTTGTCTGCTCAGATGTGAAGTTACCTATTGATACAAAGTATTTCCTGTTTTCTAAGTATGTTTTGAACCAACAGTGTAAAACAAAAAGAGCAACGTGCAGTTAGATATCTGCTGATGGTTCTCCTCAGATCTCCAAGACTATCAACATGCTGGTTCGCTGGTATGTCGATGGTCCCTCCTCTGCAGCCTTTCAGGAGCACGTGTCCAGGATCCCGGACTACCTCTGGTCAGTCAGCCGATCTTGAACAGTTCAGTAATAAAACAAACCAAACTCCAGCTTCAAGAACAACTTCAACTATGCAACATACAGAAATAAATCATTTACAAAAGGTGTAAAACTGATAAACTTACTGTAAGTTCTCTGTGTACCAGGTTGGGACTGGATGGAATGAAAATGCAGGTGAGAATTTGTTCTGTCTTTGTTTTACCTCTTTAACATTTGAAGGTGTGTTTGTGAGGATCTTTGCACCTCCAGCTTGCAAAAAAAGAAAGAAGAAACTCTTTATTGAGCCTTTATTAAATCCATATTATTCTCACAGCAGAAAGATGTCATTAAGTGTGAGATATAGAGGAGAATGGTGCATCACCGATGTAGAAAGAAGAATCCATAGAATCAGTTTCGCCGACAGCTAAAGTTCAGGTGGTGCATTAATCCAAAGAATAGCCCAAAATCTACTTGAATACATAAACTTATTGCCTTCTAAACACATTGTTTTAGTTTACTTGTTTGTTTCTTGCTTTGGGATTAATCCAATCTCTTCTCTGACACAGGGGACGAATGGATCTCAGCTCTGGGACACCTGCTTTGCTGTGCAGGCTTACCTCGAGGTAAGACAAAGATGACCTCTAATGCTTACAGTAATTTTAACCAAAGCACATTCATGCTCGTATGTAAAACCCCTCCAACACCCCTTCATCTGTATTTGACAAGACTGCTTAAAGAAGTGCTGCCATTAATTAATGTTTCAATCTTAAATATAAGCAGCCTATCTCTAATAATTAGCTCTGTTCCACAGGCCTTCAAGCTGGCAGTAGTTAAACCATTACTTAATTATCCATCCCTTGACTGAGCTGTCTTTGCTAATTATAGGCCAATCTCCAACCTTAATTTCATATGGAATTCAAATCCTTGAAAGAGTAGCTGTCAAACAGCTAACAGATCATCTGCAGAGGAATGGTTTATTTGAAGAGTTTCAGTCAGGTTTCAGAGCTCATCACAGCACAGAAACAGCTTTAGTGAAGGTTACAAATGATCTTCTTATGGCCTCTGACAGTGGACTCATCTCTATGCTTGTCCTGCTAGACCTCAGTGCAGCATTCGATACTGTCGACCATAATATCCTATTATAGCGATTAGAACATACTGTAGGTATTACAGGTACTGCAGTGGTTTTTATCATATCTAACTACTAGACTCCAATTTGTTAATGTAAATGGAGAGTCCTCTTCACACACTGAGGTCAATTATGGAGTTCCACAGAGTTCAGTGCTAGGACCAATTCTGTTTACATTATACATGCTTCCCTTAGGCAGCATCATTAGAAGGCACAGCATACATTTTCACTGCTATGCAGATGACACCCAGCTCTATCTGTCCATGAAGATAGAAAACAGACAGCAATGTCTTAAAGATATAACCTGGATGACCTGGATAACTTTTTGCTTCTAAATTTAGGTAAAATGCACGTTATTGTACTCAGACACAGCTGTGTACCCAGAATTGGGCCCTGAGAAACTCCACATATGAAATCAGTGAGTAAATTTTGATGAGAGTCGAACTAGTCAAACACTGAGCCAACACATAGTCCTAAACGGGACGTCACAATCAACTTTGTCAATAAATATTATCTGGTAACAAAAACGTTACCTGTGTAATTTAGTCCGAGATCAAGACGACCTTGACAAGAGCTGTTTTAGTTCAATTTCAATTCAATTCAATTCAATTTTATTTATATAGCGCCAAATCACAACAAAAGTCGCCTCAAGGCGCTTCATAGATACAGAGAAAAACCCAACAATCATATGACCCCCTATGAGCAAGCACTTTGGCGACAGTGGGAAGGAAAAACTCCCTTTTAACAGGAAGAAACCTCCGGCAGAACCAGGCTCAGGGAGGGGCGGCCATCTGCTGCGACCGGTTGGGGTGAGAGAAGGAAGACAGGATAAAGACATGCTGTGGAAGAGAGACAGAGGTTAATAACAGATATGATTCAATGCAGAGAGGTCTATTAATACATAGTGAGTGAGAAAGGTGACTGGAAAGGAAAAACTCAATGCATCATGGGAATCCCCCGGCAGCCTACATCTATTGCAGCATAACTAAGGGAGGATTCAGGGTCACCTGATCCTGTGCAGTATTTTAGTGCTGTGTTTGACATAAAAACACATCAGGAAAACTACTTTTGTGTGTTGCAGTTTTGTTTTGTTTTTTTCAGGCAGGAGCTCAGGACGACCCAAAACTAGCTGAATGCCTTCGAGACGCCCATCAGTTTCTCACTATCACACAGGTACAGCAAGGAGATGCACTTTATCCACCGAATGGCTTTCATAATGAAAACATATTTTTTGTGTTCTTTGCATATTTATGTGGTGTCTGAATAATCTGAAAAACTAGCTTCTGATTGGGATAATTCACCTAAACATTAAAGTTGGAAACCAGAAAGTAGTACACATTGTTTTAGTAGTATAGTTTAGTTTTTCTTCCAGAAATCAAAGAATCCTGAATTATAATCTATGGGTGAATTCCCTAACAGCAATGATGATGATAGAAGTGATACCTTTTAGTGAAAAATGTTTTTTTTAAAACTTTATTTGGAGAAACGTTTGCAGATAAGTGATTTTAATCCGATTTGACTGGTGATTTAAACATGCAGTTTCTGTGTCCTGATGACCATTGAAATGTAATTGTATGTTTTAAGATAACGGGCCAAATACATGCTGCATGAGCTTCTAAGATGGCCCCAAGTTTCAAGACTTCATCACGATGGGTTTTATTTTGACACTTTAAAAAAATGTTTATTTTAAATGGCTGACCAGTTTTTCGCTCTTACAGATCCCGGAGAATCCTCCTCAATATCAGAAGTACTACAGACAGATGAATAAGGTACAGATATTATCACCCTGCAGTCGCTTTTAACCAGTTTATTTATCATTGTTAAATAAATCACTCGAATGTGCTTTGACGAAACATAAACCGTCTTAAATTTAGCTTATGTGTATAAGTAAAGCATGCACTGCATTTCTTTCAGGGAGGTTTCCCCTTCAGTACCCGTGACTGTGGTTGGATTGTGGCCGACTGCACTGCAGAAGGCCTGAAGTCACTGATGCTGCTGCAGGAGCTCTGCCCCTCCATCAGGCAGCCCGTCCCCTCTGAGCGTCTGTGTGATGCCGTCAACGTGGTGAGTACAAAAAAGGAGGACTTACTCAGTAAGCCTTTCCTTTTTTTTTTTTTTTTTTTTTTGTTTACAGTTCAAACATCCTGTTTGTGTTTTATGCCCCACACATCCCAGAGATCTGCAGGTCTGCTGCAGCAGGCTTCTGCTCGTATTTTAAATGAACCAAATAAATACTCAGCTCTTAAACTTGACTGTAATTTCTAATTGATTTTCTAGGTTTAACACTCTAATATTACCTTATGTTGCACATTTGACCCCTAATGCCTATCGTATTTTATGTACAGCACTAACTAAAATAAACGTTGTTGAAATAAATGTGGAGCGTTGTGAAAAATTGAGAATATCTAAGGCTTCCTGTGAAATCTTGCTGCCTTTTCATTTTAAAGGCAATTGGAGTGCAAACTGAACTGAAGACCCAGCCCCTCGTCATCCTCTTCTTCATCTTTTCACCATGTTTCTGTTTTTGTAGCTGCTGAGCATGAAAAACACAGATGGTGGATTTGCCACATATGAAACTAAGAGAGGAGGGAGACTCCTGGAGCTGCTCAACCCCTCTGAGGTTTTCGGTGAGTGTGTTGCCAACATCTTACTGAAAAAAATGTCTCTGTATAAAAGAAACTTTGATTTCAAAGAGTCATGTGAGGAGGAGTTCCCGGCAGTTGCTGGGAATGTCTGAGTCCCTTAAACTGTAAATATGTAGATATGAAAAAGGGAGGCAATAAATATAAACATGACATTTGGAGAGTGGAAACCTTTGTTTCCATTGCATACTGAAAATGTGGCAATGACCTTTCCAGTAGCAAAGGGCAGAAAGTCAAAGACCGCCTTATTTTCCATTGAAAATGAGGATGCAGAACATGTTGTGAAATGTTTGTTTTTCACTGTTACTTTGTGCCTTGTCTGTCTTTTTCTTTTATCTCTTACGTTCATACACAAACAGGCGACATCATGATTGATTACACATATGTGGAGTGCACCTCAGCAGTTATGCAGGCTCTGAGGCATTTCCAGAAGGTCTACCCTGATCACCGTGCCGAAGAGATAAGGTATAAACACGTTGTTTAGAGGTATGCTATCTCCTAAAACTGTTTTCACACATGCACTGCAATCCTGAACCCTTGTGCACATGACTCGACAGACGGGCAGGTGACAGCAAAGGCTGGACATTAGCTACACTTACTGCCATCTTTTCTGCTCCCTCTCATAAACCCATTGGAGCAAATGTGTCCACAGTGTGAGATTCTTCTGTAATTGTCCAAAGTATTAGCAGGGCTTAAACTAAAGCTGACCTAATACAATGAGTATAAAACCAAACTGTCTTTTTCTGAAAATATCTTGAGCATATGTGTTTTCTCAGTTGTCGCTTAAGTTCAGGAGGATCCTCTGAGTTTGCTGTGTCTTCTTCAGGTCGACTCTGAGAGAGGGGCTGGAGTACTGCAGGAAAGTTCAGAGACCTGATGGATCTTGGGAAGGGTGAGGCCAAAATTAGAGATTATTACTGGATCTCCTTGGTAGATTTTATATATGAGAGCACCCAAATCCAGAACATTAGAGACAAATTTGTAAAAAACAAACAAACAAAAAAACGAAATAATAACATAGACATGAAGTTTGTCAGGTTTAGTAAAATCAGCTAAGCTCAAGTCATTTATGTGGTTCTTCAAAACCACAAAGGAATTAGATTACCTGAGATTTATTTATTCGGTGTAACCGTGCATTGAACTGAGAAATTACACTTTGGAAGAGAAAAAGTTTCAGTGCTATTACAGAAAAAATTAAAAACACATCAAGTAATGACCAAGTACACTGAAAGACAACAATTTTATTTAAACGGCGCCAAATCACAACAACACCTCAAGGTGCTTTATATTGTAAGGTAGACCCTGCAATAATACATACAGAGAAAAACCCTAAAGTCATATGAGCCCCTATGAGAAAGCACTTTGGTGACAGTAGGAAGGAAGAACTCCCTTTTAACAGGAAGAAACCTCTGGCAGAACCAGGCTTAAGGAGGGGCATCCATCTACAGTGACCAGTTGAGGTGAGAGAAGGAAGACAGGATAAAAGACATGCTGTGGAAAAGAGCCAGAGATTAATAGCAAGTATGATTCAATGTAGAGAGGTCTACTAACACATATTGAGTAAGGCAACTGAAGAAGAAACATTCATTGCATCATGGGAATCCCCCAGCAGCCTACACCTATTGCAGCATAACCAACGGAGGATTCAGGGTCACCTGATCCAGCCCTAACTATATGATTTAGCAAAAAAGGAAACCTTTAAGCCTAATCTTAGAAGTAGAGATAGTGCATGTCTCCCGAATCCAAACTGGAAGCTGGTTCCATAGAAAAGGGGCCTAAAATGTTACTAATGTAACTCTTTATTCTCCTGGACAGACGGATGCCACAGACTTTCCTAATATTCCTAAGACAAGATGATGAACAACTAACATGAATCAGTAGCATGCAGGTGCAAGTGCATTAAAGTGCATTTGTAAAAAATGCAGCAGGCTAATCCTTATTGAAATGTGAAAGAAAAACTATTACACCAACTTTCAAAGCTGATCAGGTGACAGAACGGTGCAGCTAATGCTTGTGAACAACAGGTGAAACCGATGAGTAGAACATGAAGTTAAAACAGACAAAGGCAGGAAGTAAAATGATATAAAGCTGTGCAAGGAAAGCCCCAACTATACTGTGAAGATGACTTTTACATTCCTGTCTCATTGCTTAGTTCCTGGGGAGTCTGCTTCACGTATGGGATGTGGTTTGGCCTGGAAGCTTTTGCTTGCATGGGTCACGTGTACGAGAACGGGTAAGATGTAATCACTGACTTTTATACACATTCTCCTACATTTAAACCGCCCATTGTTCTCCAAAACTTGCTGAACAGCAATGACCTTCTGTGACCTCTAGCCTACATATTTGTTTTTGTGTCACATTCTTTGTGAGCAGACATGTGTGCGAAGAGGTGCAGAAAGCCTGTCAGTTCCTGCTGGACCGGCAGATGCCAGAGGGAGGGTGGGGGGAGGACTTTGAGTCATGTGAGCAGCGTCGCTACATCCAGAGTGGCTCCGCTCAGATACACAACACCTGCTGGGCTCTGTTAGGGCTGATGGCTGTCAGGTAATAAAGAGCAACTCACCTTTGGGCTACTGACCAATCAGAAAGAGTCAGAATAAAGATGTGATGTGAGCATTGTGTTAATCGGGTTGTTTAGTTTATGTAATGCATGTTGTGTGTCTGTATAACCAGGCATCCTGACAGGAAGTCCATTGAGAGGGGAGTACAGATGCTGATTGACAAGCAGTTGCCCAACGGAGACTGGCCACAGGTGACTCTCTGCCTTTAAAGGGACAGCGCACCCTAAAAATCAAACACAAATGTCTTCACTCTGTAAAGAGACTTAGCTGCTTAGTTTTTCAAAAGCATTGTTTTAGTGCTATTGGCCCAACACAGCGAGTGCCATCTATATGACGACGTTACTACAGCAGATATTTCCAAAACTGGACATGTGTCCCTTTAATCCCTGCATTGATGACCATGTGAAATACAACAGGATTGTTAATGTGTTTTTTTTCTTCTTCCTTTTCAGGAGAATATTGCAGGTGTGTTCAATAAAAGCTGTGCCATCAGCTACACCTCATACAGAAACGTCTTCCCGATCTGGACCCTCGGCCGCTTCTCACGACTTTATCCCACCAGTGGGCTGGCCGGGAAGGTCAAGCTCTGAACAGACTGCATGCCAAAAAACATCAATGTCTCCAACAAAAAATAGAAAAACAACATTTACTGGAACACATAATCTCTGTTTTTAAGTCACACCTGAAATGACTCAATGAACATGCACCATTGATGTGTTTCAGCTGCGAACACATTTCATTCTTTGAATTACTTCCTGTCCACACAGCCAGAGCTCCTCCTTAAAATCCTTTCTCAGTCTGATCTTAAACATTCATGTACACAAAACAGACTCCTGTCCATGTCGCCTTACATCCCCTTTTACTTGTAGTTTACTCTTTATTTGATCTTAATAATTAAAAAAGAAATACAGAGTTTGGCTTTGTCATCTCTTCCTGAAGTACACAAAACATATTGGCAGACGAGGGTGATGAGGAAGAAACAGTAGAGGAAACACTCACAGAGATTTTTCATTAACAGGTTCTATGCAGTCAGGAGGGTTTCATGATCCCAGCAAAACTCAGTAACACAAAGCACTGCCACCATCACATCTCATGATGTTTTAACATTTATTTACGCTCACAGTCAACTGTTTTCTGCAACAACGCCTGCATCCCCTACTGCAGCACATAGCCGAGGTTATTGATACCAATCCTACCATTATGTTTTCTAGGCTGGAGTCCAGCAGCTTGTGTGGTAAAGAGTTAATTTATTAGAAGAACTGTGTGTCAAGTGTACAAAAAAAAGCCTTGTGTTGTGGCTTGGTGGCTTAGTGGGAGTGTCACTTTTGAGGAAAAAAAAGTGCACTTGGAAACAAACATAACAAAGCTTCACAACTGGTTAATCCAGTGTGCTCCATCTTGATATTTGTTCAGAGTCGGAGGCGTGACAACATGCTAAGAAAGCAGGTTTCACTGCATCTTCCTCAACTCTGTGAAAATATAATATCAGTGCCAAACGAGGTTTCAGGTTAACCTTTGTTTGTTACCTGAAAGGACGGACCAAGTATATTTGGAGGTATTTATAACAATGGGCAAAATCTTCTAAAAGCCAAGTTGGTGAATTCAAAAATAATTTTTGTGTAATAATTAATCAGCTGAAAAAAAGCCAAAGATAAAAACCCACTCTGATGTTGGTTATCAACTTTATATATCAAGTTTCTGCCTCAGGATCTGTGCACGCTTCTTGGTATATGCTCTGTGTTCCATTAGAGGTATTTAACACCTGTACTGATGTATTTTCTGATGATCTGAGTAGGTGGTGATTTCATACCTGCTGATCTCTAATCTGGAAAGTAACCTGAAGCCCAAACCAGGCAACAGGAATTCAGCTTATCCAGGAAACGTCAGGGTAACCCCGGGCTTTATGTACAGAGGTGGTTCACTTCTTACCAGGCTCCTGAATCAATTCTCCTAAAATAGCATTACTGTTTCTGAAAGATGCTTCAGACCTCTGCGAGGAGAGTAGGAGCGTCAAGTGTGTGTTTCTCTGATGGGCATAAAATATAAGATTTTTTGCTACAGTTTTAATCATTTTAGCATTTATATATAATCCTGAAACCGGACATCCAATCTGTGCCAACCTCCAACCTCTAATTTGCATGCTTGAATTCTGAAGTTTAAACATAATGTTTACTGTCAAACCCTTAAACAGCACCAAGTCTGCAGCTGAGAGAACATCTGGCTCCATTTTATCACCTCAGTGATAAAATAATTAACTGGAATTAAAATGTTTATTTTAATGTGCAAATAATGAGATGAATGGTTTGCTTTACTCACCTGGGAATATTTAGCATTTCACTGTCATATTTTTATGGCCTTTCTACATTTTTAATTACCATTTCATCATCGTCATCTGACAGTGTGTCTGACTGGAGATGGTGACACGCATAGGGATCATAATCATATGATTATGTCAACACATGGGAAAAACCTAAATTAACTTAGTGAGGTGATAACCACTTTAATTCCAACTGCCAATGTTAGGATTGAACTTATGAATGCAACACCTTTAAAACAGTCTTGACTTGAATATGTAGCCCTGCAAACGAAACAAACAACTATTATAAAAGATAAATTATAAAAAAAACTTTCTCTGAAGTTCCTGTTTCTAAGGCTGTACAGATATAATATAACATATAATCACAACTGTTTTGCATGAGAAAAATGCAGGAACAAACAGCCCTGTCAATCACACTGTTCACTCACAAAGTACTTAAGCATGAAATCGAAGTGCATTTGTGTGTTACTCTAACCCGTGTGCTCTTACATCAACATGTAATTCTGGTTTTTATCAGTGTGTGCATGGTCAGTTGCAGACTCTAACACTATATTTGACCTTTAAATGGGCGTTCAGCATACTTCAGGTTGAGGTGTGGCTTTACATATAAAAAGTGGCAGGTGACAGGTGAGTCAGTGGATCAAGTTACCAGCACGCAGTAAGTTCAACACTGAATCTCTGCTGATTATCTTGTATGCATATGTGAAGAAAGAGTTTGTATATGTTGTATTTTATTTTGTGAACAGGTTTTGGTGAACTCACTCTGATCTGAACTTACAGGGTGTGAGGTTTGAAATTTGGAGATGTCTGGAAAGGGAAGAGGTAAAACACATAGCTCCCATCATGTGTGTTTTCCATATCTTATACATATTTAAACATTTTAATGTTAAAAGATGAATTTATGACTAATTCTAGGCGGGCATTGTCATGAAGGAGGACATGGACATGGCCATGGTGGTGGACATGGTCATGGTGGTGGACACGGACATGGCCATGGTGGTGGACATGGCCATGGTGGTGGACATGGTCATGGTGGTGGACACGGACATGGCCCTCATGCTCATGGATGTGAGAAGAAGCAGAGGCGCCGGCACAAGCAAGGACACAGGCACCTCAAATGCCACAAGAAGGGGAGGGATTGTCACGGGGTGAGTCTGAATACTGCAGCAGTGCAGATTTGATCCACAACAGGAAGTAGATGCTATTGAGCTGAAAGTGAAGCATGACATGTTTGTGTAATACAGCCTGAAAAATATCACTGAAATAATCTGTTATTCATAAGATGTGTTTGGATGGTTATCAGCAGGTGGCAGGACAGCAAATGCACACTTTAAGCCAATTTTAAGGATATTTTGAGGTCATAAGTGAAAAATAAACCCCTCATCCTAACCACTCAGCCAAAAAGAGTTAACCACCCCTCAATTTAGAATCAATGTGAGGACTTCACCAAATATCATCTGTCTCTTCTCCAGGACTCCAGCAGCTCCTGCAGCAGTGACTCTGACTAGATGAAGATTTCTGGGGGGACCTGCATGGAAACATTGCTATTTTATACTTTCTGCTTTTAATATTACATTTTTTTAACACATGTAAGGAACAAAAATAAACATAAAGAATATGTAAAACAGAAGGTTGCTTCCCACATCTATAAAAACTGGATGGTTTGTGGAGTATCATTTTAAGCCTTGAGCTTTGCCATGCTTGCCTTGTTTTTTGAATTAGAACATGACAAGGGTGGCTCAACCCTACCTGAGAAACTGAGGAAACTGCATTCTCACTGGGTAGCAACCTGCCAATCACAAGGCAGCTCCGCCTTAAAGCAAAGCCTTCATCAATCTCTCTTTTAATTGGAACATGACTTTCAAAAAAATATTATGTTGTAGAGCTAACCATAAAGTCATGTGTAAAGTGTTTACTGAGGTCATAAATCAGGCTAAGGCTACGTCCACACGTACACGGGTATTTTTGAAAATGCAGATTTTTCTATGCGTTTGCACCTTTCTTCCACACGTAAACGGCGTTTTCGGTCACTGAAAACTGAGATTTTTAAAAACCCCTGCCAGGGTGGAGATTTTCGAAAACTCCTTTTTTGACGTCACACTGTGCGCCACGTTATTGTTTCGGTTCTACAATGGCGGACTTAGACAAAATAAATTTACTGTTCTCTGCAGTGTTTAAATGCTTGCATATACACACACAGTCCCAGACTACCTCTGGTCAGTCAGCCGATCTTGAACAATTCAGTAATAAAACAAACCAAACTCCAGCTTCAAGAACAACTTCAACCATGCAACATACAGATGGAAAAAAATCATTTACAAAAGGTGAAAAACTGATAAACTTAAGTTCTCTGTGTACCAGGTTGGGACTGGATGGGATGAAAATGGTGTGAATTTGTTCTGTTTTTGTTTTACCAGTTTGAAGGTGTTTTTGTGAGGATCTTTGCACTTGCAGCTTACAAAAGAAGAGCCATAAAACTCTTTATTGAGCCTTTATTAAACCCATAATATTCTCTTGGCAGAAAGATGTCAAGTGTGAGACATAGAGGAGGATGGTCCATCATCGGTGTAGAAAGAAGAATCCATAGAATCAGTTTAGGTGACCGCTGAAGTTCAGGAATAGCCCAAAATCTACTTGAATACATAAACTTATTGCCTTCTAAACACATTGTTTTAGTTTACTTGTTTGTTTCATGCTTTGGGTTTAATTCCATCTCTTCTCTGACACAGGGGATGAATGGAGCTTAGCTCTGGGACACCTGCTTCACTGTGCAGGCTTACCTCGAGGTAACATATAGATGACCTCTAATTCTTACAATAGTTTCAGCCCAAGTACATTTAGGCTCATGTGTAACAGCTCTTCTACTGTATTTGACTCACCACCTGGGGACAGGGGAGGGTCCTCAGCTAAAGGAGCTCATTTGCATTAGTATTCAGTATCCACCCAATGCTTTCAATTCCTTAATTAAACACTTTAAGCAATCAAGTGCTACATGTTGTTTTTGTAGTATTTATTTTGCTTCCAGATCCTGAGATGACATCAGAGAGAAACTCAAAGAATCCTGAATTATAATCTGTGGGTGAATTCCCTGGCAGCAATGGTAATAGAAGTACACCCAAATGAGAAACATTTGCAGATATTTAAGTGAATTTAATCAAATTTGACTGGTGATTTAAACATGCAGCGTCTGTGTCCTGGTGACCATTGAAATGTCATTTTATGTAAATAAGGTTTTAAGATAATGGGCCAAATACACACTGGATGAGCTTTTAAGATTGTTATCAAGTTGCAAGACTTGATTAAATTCAATTCAACTGAAGGTGCTTTATATTGTAAGGTAGACCCTACAATAATACATATACGAAAAACCCAACAATCATATGATCCTCTATGAGCAAGCACTTTTTTGACAGTGGGAAGGACAGGCTCAGGGAGGGGCGGCCATCCACCGTGACTGGTTGGGCTGAGAGTTGATCACAACAGTTTTTATACTGACACTTTCAAAAACCTTTTTTTTCAAAGTGGCTGACTGTGGTTGAATTGTGGCCAACTGCACAGCAGAAGGCCTGAAGTCACTGATGCTGCTGCAGGTGCTCTGCCCCTCCGTCATGCACCCCATTGCCTCCGAGCATCTGTGTGACGCCGTCAACGTAGTGAGTCTGCAGAAAGATATAAAAGGAGGACTTATTCAGTAAACGCTTTTTTTTCACAGCTCATAATGTCAACATCCTGTTTGTTTTTATGCCCCACACATCTGGATCAAACTCTCAGAGAGCTCCAGGTCTGCTGCAGCAAGCTTCTGCTTGCCTTTTAAAAACATTCAAATAAACTTTTTGTCTTATTCACAGTGAATCTTTCCTTTTAGTTAAACTATTTCATCATATTAACAGGTAACGGGTGAGCAGAGCCATCATTGATGGTGATACAGAAGCCTGTAGCAGGAGTACTGACGGGGCTCCTGAATACTCAGTACCCATCTTATCTTAAAAACCTCATAGTACTGTATCATTCCATTAGAGCACTTCACCCTCAGACTATGGGCTTACTTGTGTGTAACTCATGACTCTAATAAGACAACTTAAAAGTATCGACTAGTTGCCAGGTTTGAGAGGATTACAATAGGAACTGAGGTGAATGTGAAATTAAATGTCTGGAGGCAGGAAATGAGCGACAATGGTTATTATTTTGACAAGTGAAAATAAAACAAGATTTCAACAATAACAATAATAATAAGCTAGCATCAGGAAAAGAAAAAAAAAAACCCCAGTCCTGCTGAGCTCAATATTTCAGTTTCTATTTCTTTGGTCATTCTTTTTTAATTTAGTTCCCTTTTTGTTTCGGTTTGGTGGTTTAAGTTGTTAGTAGTTGAGACACAAAGACTAACACAAAACACTGTCGGCAGGTCTTCCTCCCGATGAGCTACTGTTACACCGTCAACTGACCGCAGAGGAAGATGCCATGGTTCTCAGCCTCAGACAGGTGTGAAGTCCGCCTTGTTCCACAAGAGGCCGCCATGTTCTAACACAGTACGACCAAACATATTCAGTGCTGTACTTTGCATCCCAGCTGTGGCTTACCTCACCTGGCTGTATGTGGACGTGACATCATCTTAATCAGCACAAAACCACTCACAGTGAACCTCCTGTTGTTACTGTATTTAAACCTGATCATCTTTGCTCTTAATGACGATTTAACTAATAATGATAATGTTAGTAAATATATCAGCATTAGTAAAAATACAGAATAATTGTGATCAGGAGTTACTGCTGTACAGGTAGGCCTGTGTTTTAAAAGGTTTTCCAGGTTAACGACTGGTTTCCAGTTTATTCAACAGAGTCATCAGTGGTTAGAATGAGACTAAAGTTAAATTATACAAAATTCCTTCCCTCTTCCTAACTTCCATAAATACTCAGCTCTTAAACTGGACTATAATTTTGAATAGTTTCTTACGTCGCTCTTTTTTGGTCAGAGGGCCCGGTGGCGCCAGTGAACGGCAGCCTCACCTCTGTCAGTGCGCCCCAGGGCAGCTGTGGCTACAATGTAGCTTGCCATCGCCAGTGTGTGAATGTGTGTGTGAATGTGTGTGTGAATGGGTGAATGACTGAATGTAGTGTAAAGCGCTTTGGGGTCCTTAGGGACTGAGTAAAGCGCTATACAAATGCAGGCCATGCCATTGACCCTAATGCCTGTCATATTTTATGTATAGCACTTTGAACTAAACGTAATTGAAATAAACGTGGATCATTCTGAAAAATTGAGAATATCTAAGGCTTCTTGCTGCCTTTTCCAATTAAAAGCAATTAGAGTGCAAACTGAACTGAACACCCAGCCCCTCATCATCTTCTTCTTCATCCCTTCACCATTTTTCTGTTTTTATAGCTGCTGAGCATGAGAAACCCAGACACAGTGGATCTACCATATATGAAACTAAGAGAGGTGAATGCCTCCTGGAGCTGCTCAGCCCCTCTGTGGTGTGTTGGGTGAATGTGTTGCAAACATCTTACTGAAAAAAACATGTTCTTTGTGTAAAAAAAACCCATTGATTTCAAAGGTTCATGTGAGGAGGAGTTCCTTGCTGCTGCTGGGAATGTCTGAGTGACTCAAGCTGTAAATACATAGATATGAAAAAGGGAGGCACTAAATATAAACATGACATTTGGAGAGTGAAACCTTTTTCCATTGCGTACTGAAATGTGGCAACAACCTTTCAAGTAGCAAAGGAAAAAGTCAAAGACCGCCTTATTTTCCATTGAAAATGAGGATGCAGAACATGTTGTGAAATGTTTGTTTTACACTGTTACTATGTGCCGTCTCTGTCTTTCTCTTTTATCTCTTACGTGAAGTCTTGTGCACATCACTTGACAGACAACCAGGTGACAGGAAACATAAGGCTGGACATTACATTAGCTACATTACAGGCTACATTAGCCATCTTTGCTGCCCTTTTAGCTCCCTCTCGTAAACCTAGTGCAGCAAATGTGTCCACAGTGTGAGATTCTTCTGTAATTGTCCAAAGTATTAGTACGGCTTGAACTAAACTTAAGCCAACCTAACAAAATAAGTATAAAATCAAACTGTGTTTTTCTGAAAATATCTTGAGCACGCATTCAGGTCAACTCTGAGAGAGGGGCTGGAGTACATCTTCTTGTACTTGTGTTGTGTTTTCTGTAAATAAATCTAGCTGCTGAGGTTTTCAGAAGTACTGTTTTAGTGCTTTGAGCCATCTTTAGTGCAATTTCCATCTACATAATGATGTTACTTCAGCAGATTTCCTGCTTAAAATGCTGTCTCTGTATGATCCTCAAAAAACAAACTGTCCTAGTTGCCTTATATCACCTTTTACTTGTAGTTTACTGTGATCTCAAAAGGACCGTACACGACTCTGTAGCTGTGGTTTGCATTTTGTATTGTCATCACACAATCTGATTTTTCACTTTTTGGGCACATTCCAGTGTGCGCTGCCCTGGCTCCGGTGCTCTCCTCCAGCACCAGCTTCCTCTCCCACCCTGGCCGCTACTGAAATAGGGAAGACATGATTAGAAAATGCTCAACAGCTGTGCAAAACCAGCAAACCAACATTTTGAACTCACTGGTCCACTCCTCCCCTGCAGTCGAGCCACCAACCACACCCTGATGCATTTACTCTTCATTTCATTTTAATAATTAAAAAAGAAGTACAGAGTTTGGTTCTTCCTATAAGTAGACAAAACATCTGTAGATGAGGTTGAGGAGGAAGAAAAAGTAGGGGAGAGAGATTGTTTATTAACAGGTTCTATACAGGTTCTATCAAGTGAGGAGGGTTTCAGGATCCCAGCAAACTAAAAACGTGACAAAAAGTCAATGCTGAAATCTGGACACCTTAACTTTTATGGTGATTCACACTTAGTTACAATTAAAAATGCTTGCAGGTAACCTGCACACTAGTCTCCTCTGCCTTTTGAAATGTAAGGATGTGTGGTGGAGGACAAAGATAAGACTGGCCATGGTAACTACTCTTTTATTTCTGCAGGTGAAAAGTGCATGAATAAACAAAATACAAGATGTGCTCAAACACAGGACAGACTAATACGTTTTGGGAAGAAAAACACAATGGATGGCAAAAAGCAGGAAGTAAAAGAAGAAGAGAAGACAGAAGAAACAATTCTAAAACAGGAAGCGACCCAAAGATAACAGAACTACACTGAGAAACTGAGTAATGCTAAACAAGTTGACAGGATGGCAAAAAGCAGAAATGAATAGAATAGAATACATAGCACACTTCGAGCTATGGGAGCTTCCTTTGACAGAAACCACGGATCTTTCCTTGTGTTGGATTAAAAAGTGTTCATCCAGACAAATGTGAGACAACAGGCTAGAAACTATGGTGCGACGTGCCCATAGACATCTGACACTTTTGTATAATTTTTTTTTTAGAGAAACTAAGCAGCAACATATCTTTGCACTCAGACTGTACCTTCAGGGATACAGTAGTTTTTCATTCAGAAGTCATTTAAAATTTACAGGGTTTTTTTTAATGGTTTTTACTCATTTTCTGTCAAATACATCCTGTTAAAGTGGTGGGTGTTCACTGAGCATGCCAAAAGGATCAAACCAGGAGGGCAGTATGTACAAGTTTTTATATTCTCTTGGCTCTGTATGATGTCACAGATAGGGCATACTGTTATATAGTTGTCTCAGCACACAGTTCAGGCTGAAAACCCAGCAGTTGAAAGCTTCTGTGTATGAGAGGCAACCAATCAGAAGAATGATTTCTTAAGGGGGGAGGAACTAAAAAAAAAAAACGTTGGGTACACACTGAGGGGTGGTACAAGGACCCTGTATAAGATAAATGAGGATTATTCTGAATTCTGAATTATACAAAGCTACTCTTGCAGAGAGCAGAGGATGTCCTGCGTAATCTAAATGAGCCTACAGTTATTACACCACCACCAGAGAACTTTAAAATAAACAATTTTTCCTCATTGCTTACTCGGATAAGGCCAAATGTTTGT